ATTAATCTCACTAATTAAATAAAAAAATGACAAAAAACATGGAACTTGACTACGGAAAGCTTATACAGCTACTTGTGGAAAAACACGATTAGTCATCGTTTCCAATTTCACAGGCACGAGTTCTAAGCCTGGCACTTGCAGTCCAAATAAATTATATAAATTATATTTATATAAATATAAAAAAAAATTCGAATATTTCCTTAGACTCCTGATGATGACTACTTTGCAATAATCGAAACTGCGTTGTATGGTCAGCCAAATTTCAATAAATTTAACAAATTTTTTGTAGTTGTTTTTTCATTACTGTTTGAACGCTTCTGGACTATCATTATATTTAAGCGGGCTTAAGCCCCTCAAGCACACATCCTTTTGGTACGTGTGTGTTCTTTTGTATCAGTTATGGGAACACAAAAATCAATCATCCACTGTATACAAATAAAGCTACATCTGTGATAAAGAATGAAAAGAGATCCAACTGGGCATTGTTTAACAATAACTTTAATAATTACTTCAACAGTTCTTCACCCAACTGTGCTAAATAAATAGTCCCTCATCGGGACAATATTATTTAACAATAACTTCATTAAATACTTCAATAGTTTCAATTCACTCTAATCCCTTATCTATCTTTGTTATTTAAATATTCGATTCTTGGGATAGGGGTTATTGGGTCACATATTCTACAAACGTACCAAAGAGTACTGCTGCGCACTAGAACTATAATGATGGACGACAAATATTTTGTAAACATTTAATAAATTTATTAAATAATCTTATAAAATACTGTCATATAATATGAAAATGAATAATAATAGAATATATTATCTTCCAATATTTTCGAAACACAGTGCTTTGGACACTAACTGCTTTTAACTTTTAATGCGGTAAGCTGGCACTTTGGTGTTTGTGAACAAACTTTTAAAATATATATACAAAAACATTGCAGTTAATTTTATATAGCAAAAAACATTATTTCTTAATTGATTCATACAGTAAACATTCGAAAACAATAAAAGCTTTACACTTTAAAGTTATTGCCTATTTTAAAATACTACTGAATTGTGACGATATTAACAGTACATATTTTTAATGCATATATAAGTATGTATATGGACTTTAACTGACGACAGGTTATTTACATGAAAATGTATTATTGGAATTTATGGAATCATCAACAATAAAAAAAAAGCATAAAATAATGACAAAGAACTCCTGCCGTGTAAGGAAGTGGAATATATACTATATGTCATTAAAACTACAAGTAAAGTTTTTTAATTGAATTTATAATTAATTATATTAAAATGTAATGCAAAATTAAACAAAATGTTTCGAATGTAATAAATTTTACTATAACACGACACATAGGCACATACCTACGTAAATGACCTCATTGAGTGTTCTCATTTATTAAACAGAAATGCAATTAAGTACAATGCAATCCTTCATTAAATCACCGTTTTGTTTCAGTGATTAAGCATTCGAAGCAGATTAAACGAGTGTGGAATTTTATTCAGATTCAATAAAATTGTGAAATTAATTTTTCATTGTAAACTCGTTTAAAGTATATCCAGGATGTAAAGTATTTTTGTACATACAACATAACTGCAGCTTTCAATACTTAAGAGACATTAATTATGGACGAGTGTTCAAATGTTTTCTTTATAAAATGGACCAAGTACTAAAGGGAATATCATTGTTTACGACTGAAGTTCATATAAATTCTTTTTTAAATTTCAGAAATATTGCTTAACATGCGAGTATTTATAGGTTCAGATATTAAAGATTATTTTGAATTTATTATAAAAAAATATTTTTTGTTTAAAACTTCTTTACTGATTTATTGATTATGGAAACGAAAGTAAGCTTCCGTTTTTACCATATCAGATACAATTGAGATATACAATTGAGACCCAAGACGTAAAGACAGAAACTACTGAATTGTTTCCAGAGCCTTGATTTTATTATTAGTAAAATTTGATTCATATATTGAGTTTTTTGGTCATATTCTGAGGCATCCGGAGAAGTACGGACTACTGAAATTAATTATTGAACGCAGAATTGAGGGCAGACGTGGGCCTGGAAGACGAAAAATATCATGGCTAAAGAATTTACGTCAATGGCTTAATAAAAGTACAAGATCACTTTTTCGAAAGGCTGCAGATAAAGTTAAAATAGCAATCATGTGAGCCAACGTTTGAAGCGGACAAGGCACCTATGAGAAGAAAAAGCTTGATTGAACAACGAAAGCCCAATAGAATATCCTTAACTGATTAAGTGTATATCATTTAAATTTTACCTATTTTGTAAGAATGATTTATGGTTAGTGAGTAATAAACCTTAAATCCAACAAATGTTGAACAACCATGCCTGTTTGAGAGAAACTGTAACTATTTTCATAAAAAATCTTTAACATTATTTACTGAAGAAATTTTGATTCACGTAAATGCAATATCACACAAAGTCACAATTCTGCAAGAGTTTTTTTCAAGAAACTTTATGATTGCGATCGACTTACCACTATACTCAGCTCCCCGGGAGGCTCCTTTTTGGTACTAGAAATAAAAATTACCACTTTAAGGCAAATTTTTCTATTTGATTACGTTCATAAAAGAAAAATCGCTAAAGAATTTGACGCCAATATTTCAAGGAGTCTATGAAAACAAGTATTAAGGAATAAGACAGGTATTGACGTAGTGAGATTGCACTTACTTTGAAGGCAATAAAACAAATTTTAATTGATTGTTGACATTATATAAAGTATGCAATCAATGCCATTAACAGTTGTACGATATCAACTAAAAATTGAATTTATCAAAAATAATAAAAATATTTGTTGTTGCAATTCACTACTGTTCGATAAAAACCTCTCTACTGAAAATAATAGTTTATATTAAGAATTTAGTTTCTTTTGTCAAATCGGACGTTAAAAGTCAATTTATTATCACATTATTAAATAATTCCAGAAACTTTTCGGGCTGGATGTATACACTAGGCAGTCTTTAGGCAGTTCAGTAATTATAAATTATAGATACAATTTTATTGTTTAAATATAAAAATTTTAATTAAATTCCTTTCAATATTACGAGTTCGTTACAGTTAACTAACAAGCAAAAATTTAATGGAAATTATTTAAAAAATTGTTTTGACAACCAATCCACTTTTGTTAGTAAAATTAAGAACTATTGAAAATGAAAAGTTATTTTTAATTAATACAAATATATTTGTATATATTTCTTTCTGGTAAAACACTTCACAAACAGTTGCAGTACGCTTTCACATTTCAACATTAATTTAAAAATAATTTATTAGTATATTTAAAATACAAATTCAATTTATAAATCCTTTAATCTCATGCTAAATTAATTAATTAAATATAATTTATATAATTGTCAAGTCAATTAATTGTAATCTTCAGTATTTACACACAATACAGTATACAACACAATGTTGAACTGAAAGTTTTTTATTAAAAATAAATAATAAGAATGAAAAAAACAATAAATTTAGAAAACTATTTCTTTTATATAATTTTTTTTTAAATATTTTTACTATTTTACTTCCAGCTTTTTAAGTGTAAGAAGGTTATAGAATAGTTTGAAGGCTAGAAACACATGAAAAACAGCAACTATTTAAGCTCATTAAGTAGTTAATAAATGCCAATCCTCGCCCTGTGAAATCATTTTATTTAAGTATTATACAGCAACCCTAGGTAAACTGCTATTCAATTATCTAGTGAAGCTAACGAAAGCTAGCCTGAACTGTAGAGGAGCTGAAGCCACACAGACAGAATATAACCAAGTTGCCTACACAAAGAAGCAACTAAATGCGAAAATGATGTGACATCAAAACTCTGCGAAGGCTCTATTCGGACTATTAGACTAAAGCACCCCTTAAACTAACCCAAGTATTATATATAGAAGAAAATCCTGAAAAAACAAACTTTTAACCTGGTTTGAACTGCTATTAAAATATGTATTTTACATTTAATTAACTCGGAGCTAGTGCCCTCTATCTTCCTCTGTTTATTACAATTTGAAGTCCTCCACACTATTAAAATACCAGCACTCGGTTTTGATAGGACCAACAGTTACTTTAAACAATTTTACAAACAATTATGTGTTGTATATAGAAAAACTCATAAAATTAATAAAGTTGGGAATCGAAATAATGTGACAGTTACAAAATGAACGATTTAACAATAAAATCGTTCAAATATGTCACAAATAAAATGAAACGGTTTTTTTGCTCTTCGTTAGCTTCCTTGGCAATATCACAAAGGCTCTTTGATTGGTAGTTCCGCTTAATTTTGAAATAAAAATTGACATTTTACGTACAACTCGAATGAATGATATATATTTGTTATAAAAATTCTCATAAAATTCAGAAGTGAAAGGTTTTATGATGGGAACAGTAACGAAAGGCAACAAATTGCTTTATTGAAAAGGATTTTTTTTCTCCTTTTTTATAGTAAAGTATGCTTATCGTAGATATATTATAATTGGGATATAAATTAAAGGAAATATTAAACTTCAATAAAAAATTAACCAAAATATGATTGGAAAATATTTAAATTTTAATATTTTTCATCTTAATTTAAGTATTAAAACAAATACTACTATTCACTATTCCACTATTCAGTGAAACTCTAAAAGGAGTATTGAATAGAAATCAACTGAGGTTGACGAAATGTATCAATGGAAGGACTCAATGCATTATCATAAATTCAAATGCTTGTTAAATAAATTAGTTTAAAATAATAGTAGTATTCAAATAATTTGACATCTAATCAATCATTACGAGACCTCAAATGACCTCAAATATCCATTATTTTATAAAGGAACAAAACATATTTATGATGTCAGTAAAACAAATAAAACAGATCTCTTTAGATTAGTAATTGTTAGAATATGTCAAATTGTTAACATGGCAAATTTAATATAAACGATTAATTTGGATTCAACTTTAAAGGTATTACAAAAAATCTTCTTACTTCATTTTTATATGGTTATTAATGTGACTTAAAGTTACACTTTGGTACATCACTTAAATACTTTTAACTAATTTATAAATTTCATATTCAATAACGATGTCCTGAGTAACGTTTAACTTTTCTAAAAGGTTGTCCTTCTTTTTTTGCTGGTACAACATCCAAGGTGCTTTCTTTTACGTCATCAGTTTCACGTGTCAGAATTTGACGATTACACTTTTCCTTATAAAAACGGCCCTGAATAAAAAATTCAAAGAAATTATCACAAAAGTCTTAAACTATTAAATACATTATAAAGTGTTCAAAAAAAAAAATTCTATTACTTTTTTGCATATACGACGTTCTCCAGCCGAGTTACTTTGTTGTGTCTTTTGTTTTGGGATTGCACCAGTTTCGGGACCACAAGTCTTTCTTGCTACTACATCTGTCGTCGCCACAGGTTTAAGTTCTGCAATTTTGGCATCTGCATTGGCATTGGCACGTGCAGTATTCTTGGTGTTGTCTGCATGGACTTGAAGTGCTGTATCCACTTTAGTGTTTTGCAATTGTTCACTATTTTCGGATTGCTTTGTAATAGGTTCCTCTTTTTTAGCACTTTCAGTTTTTTTTAGGATGATTCTGAATTTAATTTCATTTTTTCTCTTCTTACGCTTTCGCCTCGAGGAAGAATTTTGATGACGCAAAGCGTCTACAAAGCGTTGCTTCGACTGATCCACTGGAAAGTTTTCTCTAAAGTGACTTTCAATTATTTGTTGAACTTCAACAGCATTTTGCTCAATAGCTGTTTCTATTTCTTGAAGAAATTGTAGTTGCTGATAACCGCCAAAAATGTTGGCTAATCTCAATTGTATATAATATTTTATTTCTTCCTCGCGTAGTAATCGTTTATCTTCAAGCCATTTCTTCTGATACTCACGTCGACTTCGTTCTATTTCTGCCAAATATTCCAGCAATGGAGTACTTTGAAATCTATTCATCTTTTTACGTTCAAAATTAAACTCTATTTTGTTATGAGATTGGTGCTTTATCTGTTCCTCTTCTGTTTTTAATCTAGCAATGAAGTCTTGGTAGTGCGGCTCATTGTCAATTGTATTTACCCAACTATCTTTACCAATGAATTTACTTTCGACATTCCCTTGAAAAGGTGACCTTTCCACTAATGCTTTATATTCGGTTCCTTTTGAATCAACGAAAACATGTCCATGGAAACGAGAAATAAATGTGTCAATATCATTTGAATTTTTAAATGTGATATGCACACGTGATGTTGCTTCGGGACCCAATGACCAATCGGGTTCGCAAAAATAAAAGTATTCATGTTCTGGGAATGGAGTTATGTGATCTCTAAACTCAGTTTCAGTCATCATGGGTGGTAGGTATCGTACAACTAACTGCGTTTGGAGTATTTTACAAATGTAAATAAAAGCAAATCATTGCGATACTAACCTTTTTACATTCATTTATATTATCTTCGGTATATCTGTGGATCAACCGTTTTGCTCTAGCATAATTACGTCGCCGAAAACGCCACATTAGACTTGAATTGCAAAAACTTCTTAAAGATATATAGTTCGAAAATTTCAGCTTTTATTAAAACCCAAATGTTTTAGATTGCAATTGTCCAGAAAATTTAAAATAAAATTTTGACATCACAAATTTTTACCTGTTGATAGTTAAAGCATGGACCGTATGTTAAAATTATGTATATATTTCTTTAATTTACTGAAAGGTGTTACAATTTATTAAATATTTTAACTAAACACACTATTTTTAAAAAAAAGTTTAGTATATATTAAACACATTATTTTTTGACATATTCTCTATATATTACTGTTGCTGAAACTTTATATAGAATCTGTCCTTCTTGTGTCCAAATTGAAACTTTAAGTTGGTCAATATGCTCAGTGTGTTACACCTAAACTTCGTTACGATATCTTGACTCTCTATGAAGATATAATTTGAGGTGGATAAAGTCTTGATAACAATGTATATGGTGAAATTCAATAGAGAAGAATAGCGACGTCCTTCTCTATTCGATGTATTTTGATGAGTACATAAACGGAGTATAAAACCGGTTTCAGCGTTATTTTTAAGACATTATTTTTTGTTGCTGAGTGGCCTTTCTTATCGAAATGGACTTAAACTTGGACATCTACTTGAATAAAATTAATTCAAAATCTTAAACAATGTTTTAAACTGTTTTATTGTATTTTGGTAAAAGTTAATCGATTTTATCGATATTCGATTTAGTTGCATTGAAAGATGTTTCTTAACAACTTTATGATGAGATATTGCATTGACTTTAATACTCAAGCATTGCATTGACTTATTGCTCAAACAGTAAGAAATACGCATTGACTTCAATTCGTTTGTGTAAATTTTTATTACTAAATTAAATTGAATCTAAGCTTGACCCAAAAAGCTTATTGCTGTTTAAATAGACTGTGACCATCATAAATAGAACCAGTGCAGCAAAAACACAATAGAGCTTATGAAGTCATCCAAAACGTCTGTGTGGCTACCCAGGCATGTGAACAGATGGTCGCTCACATTCTTGATGTGTCTTCAATATTGCCTTACAAAGATAGGATAACTATATGATATGAATTCCAATTAAATATTTTAGATCTTTATATATATAGATATTTTGTTTTTTGAGTGCAACGGATAAATTATTTTTTATTTATCTATACGATAAATAATAAATAATTATGTCTTCTGTTTTACGAAATTAAGATATATGTTCGTATCTATTGGAAAATATTTCACTCTGCAATTTCCTTTGTTCTCATTTGTGTAAAAACAACTTACAGACGCACGGGGAATCCTCTTCTCTTTGGTGCTCGACAAATGGAAGACTTTTTTATGTGCATTTAAAGTTGGAGAGATGCATTCATGAATTAAGCAATATCCTTTTTATTAAATGTGTGAAATTTACACGCCGTAGCACCCTTCGAATTTGTAAATGAAATGAAAATCTTTTGTTCGTCATGAAAAAATTAATATCCCAATGCAAATTATTGGAAATATCGTAATGGAAAAACTTAAAACACAGACTTACGATATGCTTGTTTATTTATATATACAATATATGTGTATTCATACATACTTTTTGTTCAATTTAATTATTTAATAAAATTAAAAATTCAAATTATAAACGCACATACATATAATAGTGAAAAATACATTTAAAGAAGTAAATTAATTAATAACTAAATTATATGATATAATAAGTTTGTAATAAGTCTGTATTCGGCATTGACGAGTATCTTATAAAAATCTTTACTTAACTAACACGACTTAAGTTGGATAAGTTTTTTTAATGTCTGTACTTTCAAATACTTTGCTAAGTCTAACTATATAATTTGTAGTATTGTTTTAATCCTCGACGCTTTGTGGTCCTTACGATTATTAAAAGTACAATCACTTATAAACGTTATTATAAATAAGTCGGGTATTAGAATCACAATGTCATTATCGATGTTGTTGCCTTACTTCACTTGTCAATAAACCTCCTTCTTTCGTGGGAGATCCTTTCGCACGAAAATCAACAGCGCTCTCTCGTCAGTCCGATTTATAGAAGCAGGGGTTCCTCAGGGATCGCCACTTTCCACCACTCTCTACAACATTTATACATCTGATATTCCAATGTTAGGTCCCTCGACTCTGGCGTTATATGCTGACGATACGTGTATATTACACTTAGATAAATGTACTCTCAACATAACGAACACTATCAATAATCAATAATGACAGAATCCGTCGAGAGAGTGGGTGATATGGTGATAAACTGGGAGGATAGTGTTAAATATTTCGGCATCACGTTGGATAAACGATTCACATGGCTTAAACATGTTCAACTGAAAAGAATTAGCTGTGCCAAAATTCTTCATTACCTCCAACCGCTATTCAGAAATAAAAATCTCAATGCTAAGAACAGGAAACTGATGTATAACCAAATAATTCGTCCGTCACTTCTATATGGTTGTGTAGCGTTTAGCAAAGCTTCAAACACTACTACTATTCACCAGCTAGAAATTGCACAAAGGCAGGATCTGAGAAGACTTTTCAAAGTTCCATGGTACATTAGGACGAATGACATCCTCAGGGACATCAAGATTGATCCCATCAAAAAAAAAATATAAAGGATAGAGCCCTGAAATTATTTGCGAAATGTGACAGACTTACCAACACCGCGTTATCAAATCTCAGAATGGTTACAAGCTCCTCGGGGAGATATGCAGATGTGAGGTTAATTATTGCTTAGTCTGATGAAGTGATAAACAATAATCTAGTCAATGTGTAGAGAAGGGGTTTGAAGAAACCTCGAGTTAAAAAAGAGTATAAGTGCTTAAGTGCACTAGCTCAAAAAACAGCTTCAAAATAATAATATAATACATATTTTAAAGTTAAAGATACAGTTGCAACGCATACCTATTATCTATACAGTATCTATATAGTATGAATCACTTATGATCGCTCTCAATTTTTCTTATCTCATGACAAGCTATTAATTTTATCCATTTAGTATTATTTGTGTAACAAACTAGTATTTTGATGTATATACATATTTTTTAATTTCTAATCATTTTCTATACATTTTTAACATATGTTTATATTGTACAGAAACACCATTTTTATATTAGAAATGTTTACGGGCCACTATCGATTAGAAAACCATGTTGGAAGATTAAATATTCCCTGCAACGACTTTTACTGCAGTTGTGACAGAGATAAGAATTTTGCTCCACATCTGTTTTACCATTCTGGCATACATGCAATGCAGTTTAAACATGAAACGGACTAACTTTTAAGAAGATTTTAGTTAATTATGAAATCGCTTTTTAGAATGTATCTTATATTTCAATTAAACTTCGAAAAAATTTTAAATCCTAATAGGGAGTAAAAAAATGACCTAAGTGAACCTTTGGAGAACCAGAATAAAAAGGATTACTGGGATAATATACCAGATTAATCCAAATCATTTATAGTTACTAGGATTGTATGAACCTACCAAAAGAAAAACTGAGGTTCATCACAGGAATTCTAACAGGGCACTGTAAACTAGAATACCAAAATACTAAACTGCAGATTCTGTGAAGATAATGAAAAGTCGCCCACACATATGCTGTTAGAATGGCTTGCGCTAATGCACACACGGAATAAGCTCCTGAGAATGTATATTCTTACGGAAGAGACAATAAAACTATTTAAAAAAGGTTCTATAATACTTTTTATTGATGCAATAGGGCTTAGAGACCTACTCTAAACCCAGAAGGGGGCACAATAGACCCGACGGTCGCAGTGCCACATCCCTTAACAAAATTAAGTGAATCTCTGACATCATCAAAATAATTTAAGAATATATAATAAATGCATTAAAAACCCAACAACTACAGGAGAAAAGATATTTCTACAATCTTAGTACCTATTCCTGATTATATGAGTTATTTTATTAACCCATTTTGAGTCTTTCAAATTACTTAAAACTATAGAAAATTTATCATTGTTTACTTCTGCGTAATATAATTAATTCTCTTAAAACTTTAGTGTATAGACCAACCATACACCATGGAAGAGCACAAATCATATTTCAACGCATGTTCATATCCTGTACCAGAGGACCATGAAAATAAGTTAAAGGCCTTTGCCACATCGCGTTTGCATTGCAAATTTCATGCTTTTATTGCCTCGGTTGCGTGCTCCTATGCAGAACGCATAAATTTCGCTGCTTAGTGGCAGTGCAGTGCAGTGTAGATAAATTGCATTAGTTTAAGTATCGAACTGCAGCGCGTACGCATATGCAGTTGCCGAATTTAACAAAATAACCGAAGGCAGCGCTTTAATTGCCCTCCAAAATGCTTTTTTAGTGTTTGAAGTTAAATTAAGTTTGTTGGACGCAGGGCTTAAATTGCTGCAATTTGCGTAAAACAGAATTCCGCACATTAATTTCAATGAATTCGCAACTGCAACAATGTAAATATTGCTCAGTCGATTGCACGCCCCAAATTGTTTAAGAAAGCAGACGAAATTTTTTCTAAAAATATGTCGATTTTTATACACAAATACATTGGGTTTTGCATGGTCTCAATTGAATTCAGTTTGATCAAAATAATTTATAGAGCTTTTTAACGCGTTAGATTTAGATTGAAAAAAGGAAATCATTAAAAAAAATTTAAATGGTAATAGCTAAGTCACATATCTAGACATTGACATGTATAGAAGACGAAACTGGCTGCCTTAAGCACATACAGCGATCACAAAAAGTATTCGTCCTTAACTAAATTTTTATAAAAAAACTGTAATAACAACAAAACGAAACAAAACATTAAAAAAAAATAATGCAATTTTCAACGTTTGTATTCTGTTTATTTTTTGTGTTTTTACTCCAAAAATTTAAAAATAAAATAACAAAAAAAGTAATTCTATTGCGAAACATCAAAAATAAAGCAAAAAAAGTATTCGCAACAACTTATTACAGCTTTTTATAAAAATTTAGTTAATGACGAATACTTTTTTTGACCACTGTAGATACAAAAAAAAGTCATATATAAACCTACATAACCTAAAACTTGCATTGGATACTCAACAGCCAACCTCATTTGAGGTTAGAGTATTGGATCTATAGATTTTTAAACTAAAACGA